CCATCTTGTTGCAAAACGATATGTGGCTGATGATCTTCTAGTTGTGGAAATACGAAGTTTTCCAACATGTCTAAGTATACGACTGATGAGACCGTCTTTTCTGTAAAAAAGAAAGGTCCAATGACTCGGTTTTGCATAAGTCCAGATTACACATTAACCTTTGGGGAATCCCTTTGTGCTTCACGGTATTCATGGGGGTTTTCAGATCCCCATATGCGCACATTATGGCGATTAACAATTCCAGAAAGATGCCAAAAACAAAGAGAGAAAGATGCAATTAATAAGCAGACGATATTTAGAAAAGTTACAGATATCTAGACTGGAAAATGAAATTATCTGAAGTTAACCACACGCGCAGATGATACTTACAAAAGTAAAGATATTCAAGCCTGAAAAGGAAAATATAAAGTTATTCCATCAATAAATGCCATAAGTTTGTTTATATCCTTCATTATTTTATGAGTTATTAAACATTAAAAGGGGTCCGGGACTTTATAAACACCCTGTATATATGTTTTAAATACTCTTTAAACGAAACAAGTTTATGTCTCTGCTAAGGTTCTAAAAACCTAATAAAATTTGGTATTTCTAGAAAAATAAAAAAGTGGTATTTCTAACAGTTTTGTTTGTTTTTACTTGTCTCCTATTCTATCTTCCGAAACAAGCCGTATCCGCGAAACATATTGTCTTTCTAATTTCGTTTTGATCGCCGAGCTGGTCGAGTTCCACTTCATTTCTTGAGAATATATCATGTTTTAGTTGCGTTAGTATAATCAGATAGCTCAGCTTATTCATTATTCTGGCATATGACTATATGAATGTATTTGTCTTCTAAAACATATATACCTGCTCTTAAATTTTCATCAATTACTGATGCTTTGATTCCAAATTTAATCAAATGTTTGATCTTGAGTACATCTACTAAAAAAGACATTTTTCTCTCTGAGTCCAGAGATGTTCTTATCCAGAGAAGTGTTATATACACTCGCGTGCAAAAGTAAGAGAATTCGCACGTTATGTCAAATATCTGAAAACCTAATGAGCAGATTTTGATAAAATTTGATATGAATATGTATTTATAACAGTGAAAGAAGTAAACTGTTCAAAAGTCTTTTTATATAAACAAGTATAATTGTCAGTAAAGCTCATAGAGAGCAGATGTCCAAAATCCACATTGTGATACGGAATTGAAAATGAGGCTAATATGGAATATGGTCCAGGTAGGTCGTGCAGCGAGATGCATACTGGACAGGAGGCAGTTGAAAGCTCTCTGTGTCACTCGATCCCACTCCTGCAGCAAGGCAATTTTCAACTCCGGGATGGTTCTGAGAGGGAGACAGTGAGATGAAACAGTTTCTTCAAGAGCGTTCCGGACATGCTTTATAGGATTGGGCTCAAAACTTGCTGGCCAATCTATTCGGCGAATATCTTTATTTCCAGATATTATCAACCAGTTGAGTTCCATGTGGACGAGCGGTATTGTCTATTAGGAACACTGGACCAACTGCATAACTCAAAACATCGAACCTAGGACTCTAAAATAACCTTTTTATATCTCGTAGCAGTTAAGAAGTCTTTATCAAACGCATGAAGTGCTGCACGATCGCCCAATATAAAGCCTGGTGCATGTTATCTGCAACATACTACACTTGCTGTCTTATGAGTTGAGTGAGTGGACCATACACAGCCGGTCTTCTGACATACAACCCTGTCTCATGAAGTCTTCAAGTAATTGTAGATTGTGAAATTCGGATTCCATTGACAGCATATAGCTTAAGTGACAGCTGTGAAGCTGTGGCACTCCTGTGTCGCCACCCTGAAAGTGCCAAACAACGATCCTCATACGTCGTCTAGGACCTTAGTCGGCATCATTCAGATCTTCTCGATATGGATCCAATTTCCTGAAATTATTTCCACAAATTGCAACGATTCTGGGCGTTATATTGAGCATCTAGCCACCTGTGCGTGTGTTTGGCCTTCCTCCATTCTACTGACAACTCTCCTTCTTATTTCGTCATATAACTCTCCTTCTTACTCCGTCCATCCTCCATTCCGTAGCCGAATGGATTGATCAGCCTGATCTCCTGATCTTAACCCTATACAGCACGTTTGAGATGCTCTTGAAAGAGCAATTTCATCTAGCCATCTCCATCCGAGAACCATTGTGGACTTGAAAACTGCCTTGCTGCAACCGCTACAGAGACTCCTCTCTTGTTCAGTATGCCGTAAGGCTGCGCAACCTGTTTGGATGTAGTGAGGATGATACTCTGTATTAGACTCATTTTCAGTTCGATAGCACAGCGTGGATTTTGGGCACCCGTGCACTATGCGCTTTACTTGTCTGATCAATAGTGAGGGGATGCCCAAAATTTATTTTATGAAAAGTCATAAAATGACTTTTGAATGGTACATCTCTTTCTCTGTTATAAACCTATGTTCACACCAAATTTCATTAAAATTCCTCCATTCGTGGCTACTCATTTTACCTGAGCCTTATAAAATTAAACCAACTCCTGCAAGAAACACCGCGAATGCCGTGAAGAAGTGCGAGTTCACAACTCGAAGAAAACACCTCGTGCGCTTACATCCCCTCCATTATCACAGCTCCGCAGATACGCAAGTCTACGCTTACACATTCCACTTACATAATTAAAATAATTTTTCGGTGGCATATTTTCGTAGTCGTTGGTCGTAACCATATACTTCCGATCACAGAAGTGTTTTAAATGACGAAAATATTCATGCTTTGGTAATGTCAAAGAAAAGAAATTTTTTTCGACAAATAAATGGAAATGAAAGTTTTATACTCGTTACGAAAACTAGAAATTATAAGAAGATTGACTCTCGTATGATAAAAATTATCCGGGATATTTAATTTCAAAATTTGCAGTTTTTGACGTCATTTTTAACTTCCTTATGGACTCGGTTAATTAAGTTAGAATAATTCAAGGAAATAAGTTTAAATGCAGCAAAAAATGTGTATTATTTAATGAACCGTACATGCAATATATAAAGTGTCCACATAAGATATTTTTTGCTTTGTTTATAATTGTCTGTTGATTTTTAATCATATCGTGTCGTTGCTATTTTTATGTTTTTTTGTGTGCCAGAATTTTGTTTTATTAGCAGTTTCGACAAAGTTTGAAATTTGTTAAAAAGGCTAATAAATGCTACAGATGAGTATTTAATAAAATGATTAATAATCAGCTTAGGTGAAAGAAATCGTTTAATAAATAAGAAAAAAATCTGATGTGTACACCACATGACCCCTTGTACGGAATATTAAATTATACGCATTTTTCCTTGCATTTCATTTAAACTTATTGGATTGAATTAAATCTTCTTCGCCGACAGCGCATAAACCAAAATAGAATAAATGCATCCTTTAAAATTTACTCTATTTGTTTACCATAGCGACACTCTGGCGCTAGGTTCACTTAACAGTATTATATTTCGTTCATATTATAACTCAGAATGCACAATATTTATATCATTTAAAGAATTATCTAATGGTTGCCACATGTTCTTTTCAAATACTATAATAAAGCTAGAACGATATATAAAAGAAATTAAGCAAACAAAACAAAAACGAAACAGTTTTTCACGGACGATTGTGTATTTCTCATTCAATTAGTTCAGTTCTCACTTCGGGACAAGACAAAAATACATAAAAACTCAAAATATCTGTATTAAAAATTACGAAGTAGTAAATCTTAAACACTTATCTCCTCGAAATAAATTCCAGAATAGGATTAAGCATGGATTTAATTCGTAATCATACAAATGAAGGCATTAGCTTTGTTGTTGCTTGTGAAAGCTTAGTTTCTCTAGATTGGCAACAAATCCACTACTCTGCTGTTTCAAATGTAAGCAATGGCCGCTATGGAAAACATTATTAGGCTCAGCGGCACTTAAACAACTTTAAAATTGTTGATAATTCTAAAAATATGGCATACAGATTCACTAATTGCAAAAAAACCTTAACCGGAAGATAAGAACAACATAATTCAATCATTTTTTGTATATAAATTTTTTGTATATAGTAAAAAATGTACAATTTGCAGACATATAAGAGTAAAGAAACTGAGATTGCTGAGCCGGGTAAGAGTGGATATATATATAAATATATTTATGTAAGTTTGGTGCGGCCGATTGCAACCAAAATACGAGGTGCACATCTATATGTTATAACAGTCCTATGTACAAAATTTCAACGCTCTGAGGCTACTCGTTTTTGAGTTACGCGAGATACGTACGTACGTACGTACATAAGTTCGTACAGATGCCACGAAAAATTCTCCTCAGAATTCATTTTAAAGCAGTTTTATAATTTTTTTGGAGGAAAAGAGTATTTTATTCTGTCCTTACGTACAGATATCACGCAAAAACATCGTTAAATTGCATTCGATAGCGGTCAAAATGGATATTTTCTTTGAAATATGCTGCCTGAAACTTTTCGCGATTATAATACTTCCTTTTTAGGATATATAAGGAATTATTGAAATTTAAACTATCATTGCCGCATTTACATGACTGACATATTCTCCATTTCTCACGACAGCAATCTTTAGAATGCTTAAAATATTTTAATAATAAATTTGTAAATATTGGTACTAATGTATAAGTAATTGCATATACAAAGTGCTCTATCTTATTTGCAAGCAATTAAGTCAAACCTTAGGAAACAATCATTTCCTTGAACTTTATCAAGTTTGAATTGGGCGCTGGAGCTACGGCAACCATAAACAAACACTTTGGCGAGAACGTAACGAAGGAACGCTGATTGCTTAGGTATCAAAAATGAAAAAAAAATATAAAAAAATCAAACAAACAAAACAATTATGAACGGAATACCAAACAAAGGCCGCCCGAGGGTGGGGTCCGCTCATGCCTGGCGGGAAAAAATGAACTTTAACCTACCCACAAAGGACAGACGAACTTACACTTTCTTGCGGTCCTAATTTAGGACGTTCTGTGATTTACGCTTATCTGGGCCACTTCGCGGGGAAGGTGGGGATGTCCAGCCTATATAACGCTCGCATCCCCACCTCTCTCATAACAAAACACATTGTGATTTTGGTGTGGTCAGTCACTACTTACCTGTTCTTCCAAGTTGTGCCTTACTCTTACGCAGTAGGAAATCATGTTGGTTCAGGTGAGTAAGGTTTTTCTCCCTCATGTTGGATTGTGCTACCTCAGGATACGCAACGGATATTTTACAAGCCGGATTAACTAATTCATCGCAGGAATATGAGAGGTTTTCCGTTACGCTTGGAGAATCGACGGATTTATTAAAAATCTAAGGAAAAATCAGGCAAAATTTTGTCAGATATTTGAAACTACTCTAACGGAAATTTGTATTTTCATTTAAATTAAATATGAGGATAATTTTGCATATATCATTCAAAGTTGTTTGAAAAGATCAAACGTAAAATATCCGGTATGATTTATAACCCAATACGTGAGATTTATATTTACGAAACTGTAAAGAAATCCCTTTATGAAACTGTTAAATTCTTCTTAAATAATTATTATTCAATATAAAGTAGCATTTAATGGTGACATAAAATATAAAATACTTAGCAAAAAAAATTTTAAAGAAAGCATGTTGATTTGAAAAAGTAAAATAGATTTAAATATTAAAAAAAATCTTAAAATCTACTGTATAACTACTAGAGATATTTAGTAAATATCGGTTAGTTATAAATAGAAAGAAATATATCTGGAGACCATTATAAATGCATTTTCTAAAATAACTCCAGCGCACGTAAGTAGAAAAATATTTTTAAAATGTCAGGTGAAAATATTTTACATCAAAATATTTAGAAATTTAAGTAAAACAATCATTTTAATTTTATACCGTAAAAAATGCAAGTTTTTTAAAAGAATTAAAAATCACTAAATATCAAATCAAAATTTAATAACTTTTAAAGTTTAATTTCAAACACTAATCTTTAGAAAATTAATCTTAAGTAAATACTGTTCAAAACAGTTATTTCTAAAGAAATGTCAAGATTTACGTATATGAAACTTTTAAAAATTATAACAGAATTTAGAATATATTCAAAGATTTAATCATGTTATTTCCTGTACTACCCTGTTCGGAAAATAATGGATATATAATTAAGGATATATCAAATGCTTATATAATTCAGTAATACATTTCTTATATGATGTACAGTAATTCAATAAAACTTTTACCTCTTAAATGAAGATAATAAAGCAATAATTCTTATTGCAAATGCTACAATATTATTGCAAGGAAAAACATATCTCAACGTGCTCTTATGTTGTATAATAACTTTTGTGTTCATCTGTGTCTTTAGTTATTCAATGCAGAGTATTTGTTCTCTGCTTCTTTCTTATGTGAGAAATATTAGAAAGAAAACTTTATATAGAAGGGACAAAATCCTCAATATTTCGTTATGCATAACACAAACATTTATCTCCTATATCGTGTTATGTTTTTAAAAATATTTCCTGTTTTTATGTTTCTTAATCATTGTTTAAAAAGCGTGTTAATAAAAGTGATTTTACATTCAATTATAATTATATCTATAATCCTATTAAGCTCTTTCTAATTTGTTTTAAAGCACAAAATTTAATTTACTGTTTTTATCAAAAAAAAAATTTAAAGCATTTGTTGACTCTTTATGTATGAAATTTGTTTAAAAATAATACATGCTTTAGCTTATCAATATTCGTATCGAAATGATTGTCATATCTACATAAATTATTTGTATCCAAATAATTGTCCTAATTTAAAGAACTTTTTTTGCTTTGTCTCTAATTTCAAAGAGTAACTGTAATTTATTAAGTATGATGCAACTACATGAGTATAAAAATATTTAAATTTTATTTTATAGATATAAGTATTGTTAGCCCAGAAGGGATATTAATCTCAAAACGGCAATTTGAGTCGATTCACTTTTCAAATTGTTGCCACCAAATATTATCGTCCTGTATTAAATTTAAAGAAACTAAATAATGAGTATCTACATGAATAAGTATCTACATGAATGTATGTATGTGTTCTCGCATTGTAAAAAAGAAACGGTACCTAGAGTCATCAAGGTTTGAATAACATAGTCCCCCACGCGAACATGGACACTTAAAAGGCTGAATTTAGAATTTAGAATTTGTTTTATTGTCTGTTTCACATTTTGTGAAACGTTAACGAATTTTCGATTAAAAATCTCAACGATTTCAAAGCAAGAAGTGGCAACACTGTAGGAAATAAAACAATTTTATCTCCGGTGAACGAGACTGTCCATCGGAAACTCTAAAGATATGCTTTTTTTAAATATTTTAATTCAATATGGCGTATCTGAAGACTTTCTTTTTCAGATTTTCTTTTTTAAATTATTGTTTCATAGGCCGCATTAATAGATTCTCTGCAAAGTAATGAATTCCAGGAACTTATTTTGAGATCGAAGCACTGTTGTTTTTAAGAGTTAGCATCGTATAATTTTCCCCCACCAACCTACTTAGTGCATTGTGTGACCTACTGCAGATTAAAAAAGGTTTATTTAATATTTCGGTATTTAACACACTGGATAATGTACAAATAGCTTGAAAAAGTTCGTCTACGTTGGTCTTCTCAACATGATGTTGTAATGCTTGTATAGCATTAAAGACTCCTAAACCATTGAACTAAATTCTAAACAATTGGTTGTTCCAGCCATCTTCGTCGCTGTCATAGCAGCGTTTGGCTTGTTGCCATATCATAGAAATAATTTTGACCGATAAATCATATTTATTACAGGTAGCCGCTGCAATACCATGCATAGGTTCTTCATTTCTAAAGTTTCGCAATAGCTCCTCTAGAATCGCATTTTTCTTTTCAGACTTTAAATTTAATTTTTTGTCTATAGCTCTAAAAAGAATGAAAAAAACGTGTGATATATAATATCAAAATTCTATTTTATAAAAGTAGAAGGCAACACGTTCAAAACCACTCTTCCCACTTCTATCTACTTAATTCCATACAAATTTATAAATTTGGCGATAATTTCGATATAAAGGGAGTACTCTGAAAACAAACCTGAACTGATGTGGCATCTTTATTAATAGTTATTAAATTTACTTAAAATAAGCTTACTTATTCACTTAAAAAAAGCAAAATATCCTGAAAATTAAATAGGTATTTTCATGCTTAAAAAACTATGTATAAATTATATTTGTTATGAGTTAATAATAATCAATTTCTTACAGACATTCATAAATTAAACTGAAAATAATATTAGAACTAAAACCCTTTACTGCCTAAAAATTACTGTATTTAATAAATCACTATTCCTTATGGTAAAATCACGTTATACTTCTAACTATTTAAAAAATCAGTATCATTTTGAATCAGTACAAATGCGCGAAAAAGAAGATAATTTGTATATTGTATAAGTACTTGTAGCTATAAGACTTCCGTTGAAAAGATAACACATACTGAGATAAATGCAGCAAAGAAAAATGTTTTAAATATATTTTAAACTTTCACGTTATTGAATTAAGGCCGAAAACACCTTTCAAGGAAGTATTTACGCTTAACTTAAAATATCATAAAAACACCTTAATACTTTGTAAATAAGAAGGTATCGTAGATATCACTGCGAAGCTACTGCTTCATGCCAATGTACTGTAAAAATATTTTATCACAGATCCGTTATTCACATAATTTGTTTTGTTTTCTTTGTGTAATAATATTTGCAACTTTTCTTCATCTTAGTTATTATAGTAACAAATTACCTTAGGGATTTATATTACTTTGTATGAAGAAAACATTCTGGTCCAATACTTTTTAAAGAAGGTGTGTATGTACATATAGATGCCTAAAACATACTAACGGAAGAATATTATTAAACAGCAAGGGTGCTTGTGTAATATAAGTGACTTCTTTAAAATAGGCAAGAAGCTTGTGGCATCACTTCCGCTTTGCAGGACCTGTATATATTACTGGTGTTTGTTTAATTATGCTGTTTGTGTTTTTTACTCCAAATCACAAAAATTTTAAGCTAAAAAAATCATTAAAATTAGAAATGTGTATAAACTTGCAATACTATATCAACTCAGCGGAAAGATTACATACCATTTGCATTTGTTTTTCCATTTTTGATATTTTAACCTGACGATTACTTAAAACTTACACTGCATTTAAAATTTTATTGAGCTGTGTTAAATAAACATAAACTCAAGCAAATAAAAGCGCATACGAGCCAACTCTGTATAAGATAGTATTTTTGATTATCCAGAATATAATCTTCCACATGATTTTTGCCCGTATCATAAACTCCCTAATAAGAGTAAATGCAAGAGCTGGTTTAATATTTACGTAGCTAATAAAATTCTTCATGTAATAACTTTATGTACTTTACGTAATTGAATGATGTTAAGAAATAATAGTAACTTATTTGCACTTATTTTCTGCGTACGTTAAACAAAAGTAGAACTAATAAAATTGTGAGATATCTGAATACAAATTATTTTAATATAGTAGGTAAACACAAATAGAGAAAAGTCATAGATACATGTAACTTTATTTCTGTAACTCTAAAGTAACTTAGTTAACTGCTTTTTCTCCAGTATACCAAATTCCTGATAAATAAGCTTTTGTTGTTTTTCATGATTTATGGTCACGAATTTAAACGGATCAGTGTGTAAAGAGATATATAAAAACCAAAGTACTCAAGGCAAATATGCCATTAAATCTGAACTTTCTAGCTTCTCTTGGCATCTGCGATTAAAAACAGAGCAGCTGAAAATAATTCCTATTAAAGTTGATCATGTTTTGAAGCATTTTTTACTTCATTTACAAGTGCAGGCCAAAAATTATCAATGGAATAAATTTTCTCAAGCGATGTAATGCACTCGTGTTCAATATTATTTTTACATTCATTACGCTATTGATTTCCTCAAAAACTAATAAATAACATTGAATGAGTTTGCTTTGAGTGATACGTATATCGTAAGTATCGTAATCGTAATATATCGTAATATAAAAATACCGTATCGTAATATAAAAATACAAATTTAAAATACTATAAGTATGTAAAATACAAATTTAAAATACTATAAGTATATTATAAGTATGTTCTGAAAAAGGCAATGTATAGTAAGGAAAGTTTAGAAAAAATGAGTACCTTGGAAGCAAATAAAGAATTTTGACATCGACTAAAAATGTTAAATCTTTCCTAATCCATAACGTACATATTCTACGAGATTTCATGTTATTAATAAGATGATTAATAGACTTTCAGAAAGCAAGTTCTTCAGTACACATTTTCAGTATACTTTTCAGAGCTTTGAAGTGTTTAGGAAAATGATGTCGTACTGCAACAGCTTTCTCATAAATTCTGCATGAGATGGTAATCGTAAAATTTGGCTGACCAGCTTATTCGCTCAATGATTTCGGTTTCACGAAATCCATTAATCATTGTTGTAGGTTCTTGCTTTGGAGTTTTGCAAGGCTTTAGGCAGGTTGCCTTTTGTTACGAGGTCAGTGTATTTATTAAGTACTAAATTGCTTTGTGTCTAAATGGCCAATAGATTAGAGGCACACCTCGAAGATTCTTCCAAACGACATACTTCTATGCCATAAAAGTCTGTTTGTAGTCTACACACAACTGAAATCGTATCCTAATTATCTGATATTCTCAGGAGGACTTGTTTAAGCGTTTACCAAAACTTATGATAATGTCATACAGTTATATGCATTTCATAAACAAATATATCAACCTAATCTGGATAATGATAATACACTTCCTTTTGCTGTTTCTATAAAAAAAAATTATAAATCAATTCTAACGGTTACGTTATGGGTACAATCATTTTTTATGTAGATAAAGATAGCTTTGGACACTAGTCTATTAATATGTATACCATTGAAAAATCAATCAGAATGGAAGTTAAGAGCTCTGGAACACTTTAACGAGCTGTCAATCCCAATGAAACCGTAACTGAATGCTCAAGACAAAATTAAGTGGTAAATCAGAGTAACGTAGAAGTTTCTAAATCTGTATCACGAACAATCAAATCCCTTAATTCCTTAGTTCACAGATTTCGCTATTAAATGCCTGAACACACTATCCACTGGGCTTGGCTTCTATCCACTTGGGCTATCCACATTTTGGCTTGGTTTCGATATTTTGATTGATCATGAATGCAGAATATGTTTCCATTCATTTTTAAGATTTGATTTTTTTAGTTAAGTTTAAGAATACAGATATTCGTCTCAAAACTAAACGGCATTTAGGGATATTTGTTTAAGAGGATTTTAATATTTTTTCGATAAATTTAAGATTTATAAGCAATCTAGGATATCAAGGAAAGAATACTTAAAACGTAATTTAGAGAATTTGCATGTGTGATATGCCAAATAGATATACAAATAATTTCGCACAAAACATCAACTTTCTTGTTTATTCTTCATTATGTCCAAATCCCAATGAAAGAAAATGTTTTTAAACGCACACTAAATACATCAATGCAAATTTTAAAATTGGGTTTAAAAGCAACTTTAGACCGTTTAGACCTCAGCAGCCTGTTTTTAGAAGCAATTTGGCTATAAGGACTATTAATTTCTTTTTTAATTAGGACTATTAACTTCGTTTTGCTATTTAGCGTTGATTCACTATAAACTGCGATCACTTTTTAAACTATTGCCACCAAAATTAAAATATTAGAGCTTTGTATCTAATTTAAATAAATTAAATAATGAAGAATATGCATAAATGTATGTATTTTTCTCGAATTGTGATAAAACAACGGTACCTAGAGCCATCAAATCTTGAATAACGTACATCTTCACCCAAATATGGACATCTGGAAGCCCGAATTTGGAATTTGTTTTACTATATATTTCATAATTTGTAAAGCATTAATGAGGTTAAGAAACTTAACGATTTCAAAGCCAGCAATGGCAACACAAAATATTTTTATCTCCAGTGCGCGGGACTGTGTATCGAAAATTCTAAAGATATGCTGTTTTTTAATATTTTGCGATATTGGTATTGAATTGAATTTTATGGTTTAAGTGCGAAGAACATGGTATTTAATAAATAAAGGTAATACACAAAACGTTAAAAAAATTATATAAAATCTGAAAGCTTTTAGAATTTTTTAATCATTTCTTTATCTCTTTTCTTTTCGCCTAATTTTTAGAAAAAATGTATTTTAATGGTTTAAAATCTATACAAAGAGCTTTGTTGGAATTTAAGATACTTTCAAATAGCGCAATGTGTAACAGTACATTATGCAAAGGTAAATCGAATAATTACCCCAAATGGTCACTAATCATGTGAAAAGTAAAAAGGCAGATGTTCAGAATTTATATTTGTGTTTCAGTTAGAAATATTCATATTCCTCTTCATTTGACTCACCCACTTATTATACAGAATTTGAAGCTTTAAAATTCGACCCACTAAAAGGAGCAATAAAGTGGTAGTATTTCAGTCAACACGCGAAGTTCTTTCACTCGATACTTCCGCCATGATGTAACAACTACAAGATTACCACACGCTATTTGACGATTCGTCTGTAAATTGGAGTTCGATAACCCTGTGCAATTAAGCGGGTGCAACAGCACTCGCGAAACCCTGGTGGCACGCTTCTGACGCAATTAGCTTCTGAGACAATGAAGTAGCACTTGCAAATCTTAAAACAATGAAAAAATACAGGAAAAAGGCTACATTCTTATGTGGCTTTATCATCTGGGAAATTCCTTCAATTTGGAAATACCACTCAGATAAAAATCATAACGTTCTCTGTCTATATTTCTTTCTCATTCACCAATGATATAACTTAATCTTTGTTTACCAATACATAATATTATCGAATACTTGGCAAGAATTAAAGCCAACTTTCAAACAATGACGACAATAATTAGAACAAGTTTGAGATTAGCATTGTTATCAAGTTACGTGTATGAGTTACTGGAACACATTTAAGGCTACTGTCGCTAGTATAAATCTTTGCTCGAAGAAGGAGGAAGAATATAAGAATAGCAGGTTTCTAATTATTTCATTGTGGGCTCGTTACTTGAAACTTATCTCTTTGATCATTTTCACCAACTAATGAAGTATATGAAAAAAAAAGCTTGATATTGTTCAATAGCGCTTTGTTACATTAATAGGTTAAAACTTCCGGCCAATAATTTCTAAATAAAACCATTGTTGTTGTGGAGTGGATTTCCTACTTTCTAAAACTTAAGGTCATTTTAAAATTGAAAATAAGAATAATTACAAATACGAATTGCAAATACGAATACTTTTAAGAATAAAATCTCTTCTCTCTTGTGAATTACTCAGAATTGAACTAAATCAAAATCTCAGTGGTGCAGCTGAACATGAAATCTGCAGATTAAAAATATATATGTGTGCAATAGGACTAAACTCAAAGCCAAAAAATTCAAAATTCACTTCCAATTCAAAGCAAAATTAATTATTAAAAGAATTGTATAGATTTAATTTAAAAATATGTCATTTTAGACCGAATATAAGATTCCCACCCATATAAAATGACCTTAAATTTTTGAAGGTGCTTCAGAAGAAAAGAAAATGTTTTTATGTAAAGCAGTTATATGAGCCTTATATAAATGTTCTTGAATATGTAATACTGTAATAATATGTAATACTGTATTACGCTCAAAACTCCTTTTTGTTTTCTGAAAATGTCTTAAAAATGCTGAACAGTTTCCCACATAACGCAAACTATAAGCTTAGCCCAATTTAATATATTTTTTCAAATATTTGACTATGAACGCAAATGTTTTTGATTTTCGGATGTGCATTTTAAAAGAGGAAATAACCAATCGTTTTACATTACAGACATTACGGAAAGAAGCAATCCAGATTAAACATGAATAATACTGATCATCATAGTAGAATGATAATACAGTAAGACCCCGCTTAACGTTGTTTCGTTTAGCGCTGTTTCGGTTTAGCGCTCTTTTATTTCAACCCGGGGATTCTCCGAAATTGTGCGGAGCGCTAGGTTTCCAAATAACATATCCGAAACAGTGTAGTTGTGTTTCTTGCTTTGTGGACGCATTTTTATCATTTGAAACATTTGTTGACCTTATTGTAAGTTTAAATTTGTATAATACTATAACGATTAATACAATGACAAATATTATGATCTTTAGTTTTTATCATGGGTGATAATAAAAAACAAGAAAAGAAAGCAACCAGAAAAAGCATTTCACTGGAAACTCAAATGCAAGTGATCAGAAGATTAGATTCTGGTGAACGTCAGTCTCAAATTAGTGCTGCATTGATTTTGGCAACTTCAACAATAAGGACAAATTCTTAAGAATAAAGAAAAAAAAAATACTGTCATCGGCAACTGCAACTACGTCAAGCTCTGCAACTAGAATTACTCGTTCTAGAAATAACATTATAGAGGAAATGGGAAAACGACTGTCTATATGGATTGACGACGAAATTGAACGCAATATGCCATTAAGCCAATCTATCATAATGCCTTCTTGACAAAAAGGCAGAAAATTGGAAACCCAGAATAGACTGAATGATCTGACTGAGAATTTTATTTGTTTTTAAAAGTATATGCGTTTATATTGTTTTTATTTTTGTAAGAAATAAATGTTTGATTTTATTTTTATTAAAAAAAACATTATTAAATTTAATGCCTAACCATTTTTTATCCGTCTTCCCCTAACCCCATTATTTACATGTTAAAATAGCCTCGCTTAGCGCTGTTTCGCATTACGCTCTACTTCGATGGAACGTATTCCCCGCGTTAAGCGGGGTCTTACTGTATATTTTGTTTATAAATTTAAAATATATGTATACTTAATCAATCTATTTATTACTCTTTATAGATTGCCATCTTAAGTGTGGGATTATCCCTGGTGTTGGCCGATCCGTACGATTATGCCCCTTCGTATGGTTATAAACCTGCCTATTCTCATCCAGAAGCTGTTTATGATTCATATGTAAGTATCAAAGCGAGTTAGTTCTCGCATTTAGGGAAGGAACGAAATAGGGAGTGGTAACATTAAAAAAGTAAAAGAGAAGAAAAATTAAAATTAACTGAAAATTTGAAAATTTGTATTGGTATATTATTATGATTTTTTATTGTGACGTTTTCATTAACTCCTAATATCACAAAAAAAATTTTCTGTTCTTATATGAAATTATAACAATTTTAATTATTTTCAGTGACTTCAGTAAAACCTCATTTCTTCAAGACTACGTAAATAAAATCTTACTTGTAAATAAAATATTCTACTGAATAATATGCATAAACAAGTAATTATTGCTTACTCGGCAGATATTTTTTTATTAAGGATTAGTTAAAATTAACATTTTCTCATGCTGATCTATGAAATTTAAATACTGCATTCAAAATTAACAACTAAATGTTTTTCTTAATGCTCAAGAGTTTAAAATCATATTAAAAGCTAATTATTTTATACATCAAAACCATTTTTGTCAAATGCACAAGTTTTTCATAATTCAGTTTTTAATAAAATTAATACTTGATTTAAAGATTAAAACACTTACGTTATAATTATGAACTTTACTTCATGCTTTTTTCTTAGAATTTAGAATTTGTAACTGTATTTAAATTTAAAACTTGGAAAGAAGAAATTTTCTTTTCATTCAGTTCATAAGAATTTTCTTTTATGAAAAATGATTTGTCTGGAAATATCCTTGAAATTAATGCAAAACTTTTAATTTTAGTTTCTGAACACTATGGAATTAAATACCGCATTATTTCCTCCCCTTTTCTTTCTAATTTTACCGCTTGAAAATAGGAAGGAGAAAAATACACCATATAAACTATTTCCGACGAGAAGACTTATGTATAAACGTAACACATGAAAAAGCACACATAAAGACCTTCTAATAATATTATATATATTATGTATTTCAAAGAACTTAACATCTTCAGTAACATCCTTTTATTTACACAAAATACTTCCAAATTTGTGCTTTTATATTACATTGGTACCATACGCTTCTAAATTATATGCTTAAAAACTAGGAGAAAAAGACGTGAGGGAGAGAAATATGCGAGTAAAATACGATATTAAAAATATCTGAGACCTTGATATTAAAAGAAAGGCGGACAGAATGGGGCGAATAGTTTCTTTGACATTTTCAAATCACGTTTTTACTAAATAATCAAACTTACATTAATCTAAATTTATAGAATAAAAGTATTTAACTCGTGACTTTAAAGTTATTGATTTTTTATTTCAAGGCCAAGCCCCAGCCATACAGTTTTGGCTATGAGACAAAAGATGCTTATGGCAACAAACAGTTCAGACAAGAAGACAGCGATGCTAGTGGTGCGAAGAAAGGATCTTACGGTTACACAGACGCTCACGGAGTTTATAGAACCGTAGAATACGTTGCTGACAAACACGGATTCAGAGCTTGGATCAAAACCAACGAGCCTGGCACCGCTAACCAGAACCCTGCTGATGTAGATGTCAACGCAATTGATGCTCCAATAGTCCATCACGCTCCCGCTTACAGTGCCCCTGTACACTACACAGCACCAGTCCATTACGATAGCTATGGCTCTGCACCTGTAGTTTACAAGACACCTGTAGTCTACAAGGCACCAGCAGCAGTTTACAAGGCACCAGCAGCAGTTTACAAGGCACCTGTTGTATACAAAGCTCCTGTCGCATACAAAACACCCGTTTATACTGGAAGCTCTCCTCAAGTATACAAGCTACCAGCACATGGATACAAACCCCATTATCGCAAGTACGATGACGTTTATTAAAAGAAATCATGGGTATTAAAATTTGCTTCAGGTTGTTGCTAAATTTATCTCTTGATGGACAGTCTAGCTGTTGCTGGCCCAGCATTCCTAAGTTGGTCTTCTGTTCAAACTCCGCTGTTATACTCAGCTCTTTCTTGGCCAATATTTTGATGTAGGCATTTGCTGAAAACAAAATAATCCTCATTGCAAATCCTTGTTTTCTTGCATTACCTTCATCTTCTGTGTGCGAATAAATGTTCATGCGGCGAGAAATTTGGTAGAATTTTGTGCAAATAAAGTTCATAGGCCTTTCATCAGTTGTTTGCAACGAGGAGATCATCAACGCTTGCGAAAGACGAAGTACAAAGTTGTCCATCTTTTCCTTGGTGATTGAAAACATAGATATACATATTCACACTGCACACTGGATGAGGAAAAATAATAAGGCTATTGAAAGTATTTACGAATGTTAGGTTAATATGTGCCAATATAAAGAAAGGTGTGCATTTCATGTGCATAAATGTTTTCTACCATTTTACTATAATTTTGATATAAAAACTTTTTTTTTTTTTTTTTTTTAAGAAATACTTATCTTCAAAAATTGTAAAGAAGGAAAAGGTGGGTTGAATTCAGTTTATGTAAGTAACATGATAATGGCCAATGAATTATTCTCAGGCATTATAGCTTATTTTACACCTTATTTAATATTCCATCTATTATTTATGCTTTCTTTTCACATCTATGTGCTATCTATTGTACTTTAAAGCACATGAGAAAGAATTCTTTCGTTTGTATTGTACAAGTGTTCTCTGATAGAGAACCGCTTTATTGTACAGTATCATACTGTAAAACTGATATTGTTGTATACTATGTTTTGTTTTGTGAATATTGGGTTTTATTCTGATTTCTATTTAGTCGAAACAGAACTATGGAAATGTATATGTTGTGGAATTTCTGCAAACGAATAAAGCATTTTATTTTTTACCTGATGTTTAATAATTTTTACTCTTTTTTTAAAAATTTTATTTGGAATTAAAAATACATGCACTCCCTCTAGAACATTTATAAATATGACTTGGTATACAGATAGTTTACAAAACTTCTTTGTTGAAGTATTATGTTAAGGTACGTAAGAAGGTGTGATATACTAAAACTTAACTGCTTTTTTTTTCATTTTTGGTAGCTATTTCTTTAAATTAAAGACACTGACACATTATACAAATGAAAAGTTTACTCAAAAATACTGTTCTTTTCTACATATTGTTTATTACAATTCATAGTGATACAGTATTGGTATACGGCAAAAATAGGGATTTTTAGACCTAATTTAAGAGATACTTTTCAGCTGCTTTTGCTCTAAATTTAATAAGTATAAAAATTGCACCACTTCAAGCAATCCTTCATGAAATTACTTATACTCTTTCCCAAATTATCTTCTAGGGTCAAGTAAAATAAATTAATAGAAATACATGATTTCCTAGCATTGTCAATATCGTTCTGGGTTACCATAAAATTTGACGGCAGATGTTAAATATTACCATCTTAATAAATATGTGTTTCTCGAATAATCAGGACTTAATTTATTAAATAAAAAATCAAAATTATTTATATGTTAGCTCTATATTACAAAACATTATATTGCATGCATTCATTGTATGTGGTATTTCGTATTGTATTGTTTTTTTTTTTTTTTTCCCCAAGCTTTGCTAGTTAAGCTTCTTCAGGAAAAGCTGAACCCATTGCTCATTTTGCCTCCTCATAGGGCAATACCGGAGGCGACCGATTTTAAACTCGAGAGGAAAAAGGAACTCCACCCCAGTTTCGATGAAAAATACCCCAGGTGGATGTATTTGAGGACCTCTCCCTCCTTCTTACCCTACCACTAAGTCTCTCGGGATGACTTCCGGCAAGATAAAATTTTAAGTTCTTCTATGTCGCAAATACACTACACTTTTACAAATAACATGCCTTCTTCTAGATTCGAACCCGACCCAAGATGGTATGGCAGCCAGATTTCCCGTAACCATGGTAACAAGGTAGCTGAATTGCATCATATCTTGCACATGCCGCCCAACCAGTATAGCAGTTAGCGTCGCTGACTACCGTGCCAAAGGGCCTGAGTTTAATCCCGGAGAAGGTATGGATGTTTGTAAATGTATAGTGTCCGTGCGGCTTGGGGCACTCTAAACATGCGGCGAGCCGAATGTCCTCTCGAGAGATTTGATCGCAGAGGAGGAGACCCTCTGACCCTTTCCCCCCTCCCAAGGTGCTGTCCTTCAAAACTGGAGGCGGAACTGAGCTGAATCGCACTGCCATCTGTAAGGGGCTCAAGGCTGTTGCCAACGACAGGCGTAAATTTGCGCTCCTTGGCCACGGGGAATTTTGTGGCCTTGGGTTGACTATAGGTCAGACAAGTGAGCATTAGCAACAAAAACGACAAGACTGTCTTGCACATCATTGAAAAGTTTCACAAATCTTAAAATATCTCAGCAGAACATTTACAGCATTTATGTTTTAATGTTCAATATTTTTGTAAATGGAACGATTTTTCCCACTTGCCTTTATTGAAGAAATGCACGAAGTATTTTATAAAAAGAAATTATAAATTTAATATATTTTTTTTCTTTTTTGTTGCACAATGACTCTTTCGAAATATCCACAGAGACAAAAATTGAATGTATGACTACCCTCTTTTTATGTTCTCTGTTGCTTAATATTAATTCTCACAATCTTTACATTTGACTCACACAATACTTTTGACGAATAAAATTATTATTTCAAATCTCTATAGATGACCCATAACTGGAATATGAGTTAGAATTTGCTATCTTGCAATGCGGTCGATTATGAAAACAGTATAAAAGGGCAGATACACATATCATTTTGTAATATCCAATTATATTTAATATTTATAAACTAACGGTATCTTAACACATAATTGGAACATAATTTATGAATTTACTGATTTCAGTATGTACTTTATTAAATTGCATTAACCTTTCTCTAAAAGTTATATTTATGCATTTATATGACTTCTAATATCTAAAGTGATATAATTTTTACGAAAACCACTCATTTAGTTTTGGAGATTAATAGCAAACCTTGATAGAACATAACTATAAATTTCATCTAGGAAATTGAATCGCTTTCCTATCATGAAATGAGAAATTTAACTGGAATTAATTGCTTTGAGTTTTTGTAATTACAATAAAAGCTTTTTCTCCTGTCCTTTCTTGTTTTGCCATTGGTCCTTTATAATGCTCTCCTTTGCAAATGTTTTACGCAGACAATTTTCATCCCACGTGTATCGTTCCAACGTCATTGATGTTTTTTCAAGGCTCTGGTCAATTTCCGCAGGAGAAAAATAAACATTGTCATTCAAAAATTTCGAAAATTTTTCACTGTAACCGTAACTGTAGAGCTGTACTGTTTTAAATCATCCCAGTCTCGAGCACATACCTTCAAATAATAATATATGAAATTTCATTTCGATTGGTTGAGCAGATAAGCCGCTAGGGTTTCATGTATCGCGAATTTTTTTTATGACAGCTTTATACATACAGCCTGTTCAAGCTCTCGCCAGTTAGACTGCAGCTGTCTGTTGCCACAGGAACGAGCCTTGACCCATTCTACGTAGGTGTGTCTTGAAGACGAATGATAACTCCCCTCAGCCAACAGCACCCAAAAACAGAAAAACAAAAAACTAAATAAAGCAATCCTTGGTTCCCCCTATTTGAAATATAATGGTCCTGTTGCTATAGCGACAGCCATCCGCCAGACACTGTGGCGGGACCTGTTCTTCCCGTAGACAGGCAGTACTCTACAGGAGGCGCAGTGAAAATTCTATGTTTATTTAGCGACATACATTTCATTTTAGTAGATAAAACTTACAAAGATCCAAGATAAAAACATTACATTTTCTTGGAGATTCTCACCTAATTACATATCTGTAGGTTTTATTTAAAATTTCGTATTCAACCATGAATAGAGTAGTAAATGTATTAACAATACGAGGGTTACAGGTTTAGCTCTAAAATCTCAAAGCTCTTCAAAATGTCATGAACAAATGGAATTTTCTTGATTGTAATTAAAAAAATGGCTCTCTCATTTTGTACCTTGATTCATTTTCTTTCAATATACATCCAATCTGAACTCGAATAAATTGAAGAATCTGTATAAAATGTACGTTTTTTGCATTGTGATAAAACAACGGTATTTACAGCCATCAGATTTTGAATAACGTAAGCTTTTACCGACCAGCTTACGTTATTCAAATCCCATCCAGTGGCCCTAATTCGGAATTTGGATTTTGTGTTAATATCGATTTCATATTTTGTAAAACTTTTACGAATTTTTGATTAACAAACTTAAGGACTTCAAAACGAGCAATGACAACGTTGCACAGAAAAAACATTTTTATGTCCAGCGTGCGAGACTGTGTATAGAAAATTCTAAAGATAAGCTCATTTTAAAATTATTTTGAACTGAATTTTATGGTTTAAGTGCGAAGTATATGATATTTAATAAATAAAGGTTCGCGCTGTATTACAAAATGTTAAAGAAACTCCTCTTTTGACGTAATTTAAAATCTGAAACATTTTAGACTTTTTAATTTTTTAGGGGAGGGGGGATTGCCTTAACTTGGAATTTAAGCCTAATTTGGAATGTTGTCATGCTTTGAAACATAAAAAGACCTTAAACCTGCATGTTCAATTCGTTTAAGCAAGCTGGTACCCTAGAATATCAAATTATCCAAGCAATTTTATTTCAGTTTCAGAGTGTCGTATAACATCCATACGTTCTTCTTTAATTATATACAATGACAACATTTTGAGAGTCGACGATTTGCCTTCACAATACGATAGGATGTGTGCATTATTCCTTGAAATAGCATAAATTCTTGTCATAAATCAAACTTTCACCCACATAATTGATATTACATTTAAACTACACATAAATCCTTTTTCTTCAATATCTAGATCCCAAACTAATAAAATACTGCTGTTGCATTTTCCAGTAATAAAATTCTCCGTGCTAGTTAGACTTAAGATAAAATTTGGATTATTGGATTCCTGTAAATATTAACTCTGTTACGTTCATTTCTCCATTCTATATTTTGGACACAGATTTATTGCATTTCAGGCAATATTGGCAACAACTATTTTGGCCTTATGCAGGTTGTGTTATATGGCCTTTATGAAAAGGGAAGGAGGACTTTTAAATGTAAAATATCATTTGCTTATAGCTTGTAACAATTTACGTTATAATTACATAGAATTTTATTAAGGTTACTAAAATGTTTCGGAAGTGTTACCCTAAGTAATCGCCTGCATGTATGCTGCATGTATACCACAGGGCATTATCAACTCATAAAGAACAAGGTATGGAGTTTCATTCAAAGCATGGAAAGTACAGATTTGTAACTTAAATTATAAAAGTTTCTTCTCCTGGAACTGCCTTTTTAGAAATTGGTAAAGATCATTAATCACTCTTTTGATGAACGTTAAAGCCTGTATAAGATATTTCTCCTGCTTTCTTAGCATGCCTTTGTGGTATAAAGGTCAACACACTCGACGCGTATTCGAGAGGTCCGAGGTTCGACTCCCGGTGAGAGCATTGCTCATTTTTCCGTCTCCTGCTTCAAAATAACCTAATGACTACTAGATTAACTAATGACTACTAACTACTAACTTTACAGGATTATTATTCACTCTTTTGATAAATGTTTACAAATTAGAGGCTTTATTATGAAAAGAGTTATCTATGAAAAATTTAGCATTCTAATTAAAATTGTAAATTGATTTTAAAAAATACTTTTGTTGCCTCATTTACGTAGCTGTTTCTACGATATAAATTATTTTTCATAAGAAAAATCAGTTAGTTGATTAATTTACCAATGTCTCAAAAATAATTAAATTTTGAAATAAACTTCAGTATGTAATTTAGTGTTTGATAACAGTAATGAAATATTCTCGATTTAAGCATTGTATACAAACTTCAATTTTAAAGCAACTGCAGTTTGTTAATTCAAAGTTCATAGTACACATTTATTCATCTATAGCATTATATAAAACCAATTTATGTAATTTATTTATAGCATTATATAAAGTTAATTTAATAAATGAATTCTGAAATTTTACTTCTTTTAATTAAATAACATTGCCGAATATTTTATGCATTGCAATGCATTACAAAAGAGAATTGATATGTTTGTTTGAAGCCCTTAAAGAATTGAAACTTGCAATAATTAAATGCTGCACATATTTTAATGACTATATGAAATATACATTCTTGAAACAATATATACACCTTATTCACAGTAAGTAAATGACAATGAAATAAGAAAACAAAACAATCACCAATGATAATGAACCCTTCATAAATAATAAGTCCTGTGCATATATTTTAAGATAAAAAGAAAACCTATTTAACAGATTATACGAAATTGCATTAAGAAATATCGAATCACATCAAATGGTAAGCTTCCTTCATATTCATTTCACGGTTTGAAATTTACAACAAAATTTATATTTCTTCCATGTCACTTTGGTTGAAATACGAAAATCACTTGTTAGCATGTCAATTTGTCTTCTATAAAGTCTCATTGTACGTATCTTGTAATCATTGAAAAAGTCATCGATAATTGAATGAACTACTAAAGCTTTTTATCACTGAGTCCAGTCCCAAATTTCATCTGGTATCTCCAATGCTTCTAGTTCAAGGCCTTCTGGTGCAGGTGCAGAAGTTGTTGGAACTATCGGATTGCTCGGTGGTCGTAGTCTTCTACCAAAAGCTGGTCGCTTATTTCTTTGGCGTTCTGGAACTGGGATATCTTCTCCTTCTGGAGCTGCTGGTTCTTCAATTTCTGCCACTGGAGCTTCAGTGACTTCCTTATCAGCATCACCGTCTTTACCCTCAGGTTCATCCTCTGGTTGATCTTGTTCTTCAGGTGGCGTTGTAGGTGGTGGAAGAGGATATTTGTACCCTGGAGATGGTTTATATGAAGGATATTTAGGTGCAGGAGGATACTTCGGAGGTGGAGGTGGAAGTGGATATTTGACATTAGGTTCAGGTGAGGTTTCTGGGGGTGCAGGATACTTAGGTTTGTAAACGTTTGGAGTAGGTGCTGGGTATTTAGCGGGAGGAGGAGAAGGATAAGCAGGAGCTGGATATTTAGGCTGAGGGGGATAACTTGGAGTAGGATATTTTGGTGGAGGGGCAGGATAACTAGGCAAAGGGTATTTTGGAGGAGGATAACTGGGAGGTGAGTACTTTGGAGAAGGAGGAGGATATTTTGGTGGAGGAGGTGGATAACTGGACGGAGGATATTTTGGTGGAGGAGGAGGATAACTGGGTGGAGGATATTTTGGAGAAGGTGGTGGATAACTGGGCGGGGGATATTTTGGAGGAGGAGGATAACTTGGTGAAGGATATTTTGGAGCAGGAGGATAACTTGGTGCAGGATATTTTGGTGCAGAAGGATAATCAGGGGCTGGATATTTTGGTTTATAAGTTTTAGGTGGTGGATAACTTGGAGCTGGATATTTTGGAGGAGGAGGATAGTATGGAGCAGGGGGGTATTCCTGCGTGGGATATTTTGGAGGAGGATAATAGTTTGGAACTGGATACGTGGGTTGAGGATATATAGGCGCTGGATATTTTGGCTGAGGATAGCTTGGCGCCGGATATTTAGATTGAGGATAAGCTGGTGCTGGATATTTTGGTTGCGGGTAACTAGGAGCTGGATATTTTGGTTGTGGATAACTGGGAGGATACTTTGAATATTTCGGTGGATACTGATAAAAGTAACTATATGATGGAGAATATTTAGGTGCTGGTGGATACGAGTAAGGTGGAGGGTATGAAGGTGGGGGATATGAAGGTGGTGGATAAGATGGTGGATATTTTTCTGGTGGGGGATATTTTGGAGGAGATGGATATTTTTTAGGGGGCGGATAGTAAGAAGGTGGCTTTAAAGCAGTTATCTCCACACTTGCAGGATTCTGATTATCTGTGCCAGGTTCATTTGTTTTGATATTAGCACGGAACCCTCCACTGTCTGCTGTGTAGTACACAGTGCGATAAACACCATCTGCATTCCAGTATCCATATGATCCTTTTACTGAGCCATCGTCCGGGTCTTTAGACTCATAACGGTTTTGAGTATTACCATAGCCATCATCTGTGTTATAACCAAAGGAGTAAGGTTTCTGAAAGAAATAAAGTAGCAAATTTTAGTATTAAATTATGTATTACAGTATTATAATATCATGACTGCAAAAATAATTAATTACTTTTTCAGATTTATCTGAGAAGTATGCGCAAAATGAAAATCATAATATAAAGAATTAAAAGCAAATCAGTCTGATAAAATACAAAAGGTTTTTCAACAGATTCGAAACACCTTTTACCAGCCTTGCATTTCTTTTTCTGCGACAGTTATACACTGATATTGGTGCAATTTCTTTGCGCTTCCTATATACCCTAATGAATCATTTACCCCAGTAGTACTGTTAGTTTTGAAGACTACACTAGAGGCTGTCAAGAATATCCTGTAATGGATCAGTAGTGTTATCTAACGTTCCTGAATTTATATATCTTTTCGACAATTCCTAAGCAATTTAGTTTAAAATATGTTTCATTTTTAAAATAATGAAAAATTTCAAATATTCCTTCTTTTTAGTTCTTGCCGAACTCTGATGCGACCTTTTAAAATATATTATTATTTAACTTTTTGAGTAATAATGTTTCAAGACTATTTTGTTACTACAATTAATTGTCATTATTTTAAAAACACACTATGCTTTAATATTAAAGTTTAAGCATTAATTAATTTATCGAATTTTTTATTATATTTAAAGAAATAGAAATAAAACATTTATAATTCTATGTCGGATATTTATAAATAAAATAACGTGGAGCATATTTTTTCGCCAGGTTTCAAAACTTGAAATCATAAAATGCAAATTTAAGTATAAGGAAAAAGCGGTTTTAAATAACATCGTTAGAGTGTTTGTGCTTGTAAGCAGAGAATTTGTTTACCCAAAACGTTAAAATTAATAAAACAAATTATTCTTAATTTCAAGAGGGAGATAAAATCTAAATTATAAAAAAATAGTACTCCACTGCAACTATTTATGGCATAGTTATCAAAATAAAAATATTACATATATTGGGCTGTACATTCGTATATACTATAAAATTATCAGTAGGTTTTCTGTGTTAATGAAGCATATAATAAACGTTTTCTTATCTGGAAATGCAGAGAATTAAAGAAATTAGTATTAAGCCATTTCAATATCGTCTGCTTCGGAATACAGTGTCTCAAAAAAGTGATGGGACACTTGTGCTTTACAAAAGGAAACTGCAATAAAATTAATTTAAAAAACATGTACAATTTTTTGTGGGTGTGTTTCATACTTAAATTTAGTAACAATTATTACATAACATACATTTTCTCAAAATATTAAATATAATTTTAATAAAAATACAATTGTTTAGAACGGAGCAGAAAATGGGTTCACTTAAGTGATGGGACACTTACTTTTCCATCAAATATTTATCCAAAAATTTTTACTTTTTTAAAAGGTTTTTAATATTTTGTTGGATTTCCTTTTACTTTTAAAACATGATTTAATCTTCTTGGGATGGATTCGACTAATTTTTTTGTGATTTCTGGAGTGTGATTTTACCCCATTCTTCTTGAAGCACCGATTTTAATTGTGTTTTTGAAGAAATGGTGTGTGTTTGCGAATTCTTGATTCCAATTCTTGCCAAATATTCTCTATGGGATTTAATTGTGGAGATTGTGGGGGTGTTTTTATTATTTCAGGACAGTTTATACAGCAGCCAGAGTCTAACGTTCAAAGCATTGTGCTTGGGGTCATTGTCCTGGTAGAATTTAAAATCGTTATGAAGGTTCAATTTTCTTGCTGAAGATTTCAAATTTTGATTTAAAATGTCAATATACTCGTACATGTACTGATCCATTATACTGTCAATAAAACAAGATTACCAACTCCAGCGGACGACATACACCCCATACCATAACTCCTCCTCCACCATGTTTTACTGTTGGCACCAAGTTCTGTTTGCGAAATTCTTCCTGGGTTTTCTCCACACCAAGATTCTACCGTCAGAACCAAATATATTAAATTTACTCTCATCAGCAAAATATAACTTCATTCCAGTAATCAGAATTCCTTATTTATGTTGTTGGATTTTGCGAAAGCCAGTCTGAGTTTTCTATTCTTTTCACTTACGAAGAATTTTTTCCTGGCTGCTCTACCGTGATATCCAGCAGTAGATCGAATTACTCTTCTAATAGTCTCAGGATTAACAATTACTCCATATAATGCTTGTAAATCAGCAGCAACTTTAGGAGCACTCATTCTTGGATTTTTTTTTAATATTTCGAACGATAATTCGCTTTATTCCATTGGATAGCTTTGATGGTCGGCCAGGTCTTCTTTTATCCTGAATCATATGATTCTTTTTATATCGTTTAATGATATTGAAAAACTGTTGAATGACTGAAGTTAACTGTTTCAGTAGTTTCTCTAATAGATTTTCCACGTTCAATATGCAAATTAATAACTAATTTTCGAATTCCAGGCAAAGTTTCTTTTCGTTTAGCATTCATGGCTGCACAGAGCTAAAAAACACAAAAATTCCAAAACAAACTGGAGAGAGAAATACTGCAGACGATTTTATAAATTATTGGCAATTGCTTTTGAGTAAAAATAAATACCCCAAAAGATATTTTTATTGCTTATTTCAGACGATTTTTGTTGCATAGTACGTAGTGTCCCATCACTTAAGTGAGCCATTTCTGCTCCGTTCTAAACAATTGTATTTTTATTAAATTAATATTTTAATATTTTGAGAAAATGTATGTTATGTAATAATTTTTACTAAATTTAAGTATGAAACACACCCACAAAAAATTTTACATGTTTTTTAAATTTATTTTATTGCAGTTTCCTTTTGTAAAGCACAAGTGTCCCATCACTTTTTTGAGACACTGTATGCAATTCAAGGAAGAAACTAAACTAACATAACAGGTATTTCAAAATGATTATGTAGAAGTATAGATAGTCTTGGTCGGTATAGTGGTTAGCAAATCTGGCTGGCATATTGGCATATGAGATATTGATTCTCGAGTCCCAGAGAAACCTTGTACGTTTCTGATGTATAGTGGCTTTGCTGAGCGAATTATTGGAGAATTGCTTGTTATTATTATCATGTTATTGGGACAGTAATTAAAAATGTACAAAATACTATTGATTTCTTGTTTGTGTAAGGAATAACACAAATGAACCACAATACGTTGGGAGAGACTGAACACTAATCGTTTATACCAAGCTATCATAATGTTAAACATGTTCTGATAATAGGTACAGCTATTATTTCTACATATAAAATTAAATCTAATGGAAAACTAATGAACAAGAATGAAGAAGTTCGTAGAGTCAGTAGGATATTTCTGAATGCAGGAAACATGAGAAATAAGCAATGCCTTCGCCGGAATTCGCCTTCGCCGGGATGAACATTTTCATCTGTTCTTTCGTGTAGGATACCAAGATTAAATATTTGACAAATTATTAACTTTTAAATTATACTTTTCAATTTAGACTATTTTTAAATTTATTATTGGTGTGAAAAAACGAGCTTTTGACTAGTAATTTATTGTATATTTTATTACATTCTGCGCTAAATATTAGCTGCCCAGATTTTATAGTTTTGTAAATATATTAATAACGTTACTAGAGTAATATGTTATAAAAATTAGAATATTTTGTATTTTTTACAAGAACCAGTTATTACCAAAAAAAGGGGGGAAGGGAGCATCATTTATTGTTCATTAGTGATGTTAAATCAGTTTCGAAATTTCTACAAAATCAGTATGAACGAAATTAATTTGTAGAAGTAAATTTACGGAAAAATGTTAAATCTTTTTAGTAAACTCTTTTATACAGACAGAAAACTTTCCAGTAAGAAATAAAAAGGGTATAATGAATAATAAAAACGCCCAAAATTGTTAAAATGAAAATTATACTTTAACAGCATTTAGTATTTTGCAAATTCCATCTGTTATTCCATATTACTTTTGACATAATAATTTAAATTAAACAATAAAAACCCTAAATCTTCAAGATGGAAAGAAAGAAATAATACGCATATTAAGCAGTTCAGTTACAAGTATCGTAAAAACTCTATATTCAGCAGGTAACACGAAATTTTAATGAAATTTTTAAATTCGAGATCTTGGCGGAAATATGCAGTTTCACATTGACAGACTATAATTAGATTTTTTTAAGTTTCTAGCTAACATTATTATAGTTACATATTTAATTTATTTCATTGAGTAATCACATAGTTTTAATTCTAAAACTTATTTTCATGATATTCCATTCTTCAATAGATTTCATATACAAAATATTTCATGTTCAGAAATTTTACTATAGCTTTCTTTTAATTAAATATATTTTCTAACATTATATTTACAAAATAATTATGAATAATCTCAAATCTTACTAAATAAAGTCTTAATATGCTCTTATTAAAGAAAATATTGGCACTTACAGGTGGATATGGTTTGCTTGCTTCAACAAAGATACTGTCTTGTGATATCACAGACGATAACACCAGTAGTATAAAAACCTGAAAAAAATTAAAAAGTGTATCAAAATAACATACTATTAATAACCTGAAATATTAAGAAAAATGTCTATCTTTAATTAATTTGTCTTTAGTTTAGATGTGAAATACTTGTATCCATGATATTAAGACTACGGTATTATCTCTTATCTGACAGATAAACCATCATTATGTATTTTATCAGATCGAATGACATTTATTATATTTATTTTAAAAGGAAATTATTAAAATTTGAGCATTAATGGTAATTTATATTTTCTGAGAAGTTTACATGTATGGATACGTTTGTCTAAAACTTCAATTTTGAAGAGCCCATTACATTTGTAAAACTATAATATTAACTGAAAAAAAAGAAAGAAAAATCTAAAAGTTTTCAGATTTTATATTACGCTTAAAGGGGTTTTCTTTAACATTTTATTTGTTACCTTTATTTATTAAACATCATATTCTTCGCGCTTGAACTATAAAATTCAATTCAAAACGAATATCGCAAAATGACAGAAAAAAAGAGCATATCTTTAGAATTTACAATACGCAGTCTCACGCGCTGCAGATAAAAATATTTTTTTCGTACAGTGTTGTCATTGCTCAGTTTAAAAACGTTAAGTTTCTTAATCAGAACTCATAACTGCTTTACAGAATATGAAGTAGGTAAGAAAACAAACTTCAGATTCCAAATTTTTTGGCTTCCAGATGCCCATATTCGGGTGGAGACGAACGTTATTAAGAAATTAATGGCTCTAGGTGCCGTTGTTTTATCACAGTGCGAGAAACATACATTATGCAGATCCTTCATTATTTAATTTCTTTAAATATAATACAGGGAGATAACATTTGATGACAACAATTTGAAAAGTACAACGCCGTTTACAGTGAAACGTCACAACATGCCAAAACGAAATTAATGGCTCTCCTGGGCTTACGCCCTTTGTAATAATAAAAGTAGCATTATTACAAAAATTAAATCAAACTCTATATTGAGCTGTGTTCATTGATTATTGTAAGATGGGATTAAAGGTAAAATTATACCCCTTACAAATTTACTTCTTTGTTTCATTTTATATAATCTATTTCTTATAGCAAAAGAACCTGATAATTTTACGCAAACAAATATAATTTGACAAATCAATATCTGAATTTGAGAAAAGAGCTTTAAATTATTCTATGTTTAAAAAAACACAATGAAGTATGTTTCCAATTATTTTAGTACTTATTTTACTTTAATTATAATTAGCTGTAACCAGGTATTGTAAATTAAATCAAATCCAAATTGGATTAGTTAAAAGATTAGTAAAAATAAAAACATTTAATCTTAAGCAATATCTTTCGTAAATGCAGTAATATACGTAACTATGATTTACATAGAGAGCAGACAATTATCCCTTTCTTTTGTATATAATTTGTAATAACTTTTCTATTATTTTTGATTTTTTCGCACATTTTTGTAACATTTTCGTACAAGAAGCAGTATATTATATTTCTAATCTTTAATTTATTCTAATAAAATAATTCTTTGCCGAATTTTCCGATTAAAGGAGTAATATATCGATTGATATTTCGAGCAAAAATAACAGCGAATTAAAATAATTTGAGCTGAAGATGTGAATTGAAATATTTCAGATATTTCAATCATAGGTTTTTCTAAATAAAATTTATTTTAATATCAAAATTATTTCACATATAGAGAGAAAGACAAAATGGGGGAGGGGGAAGAGAGAGAAAAATAATTGCAATATTTATAATATTCCAAGCTTAATTAACAAGAAGCAAAGCTAAAACACTGCTGTATAAAACACAATCAGACTATAAAAAACAAAAATAATACTGCAGAATAAAAGAATTATTCAAACAAATGCAATTGTGAGCATGAAATAAAATTATAAAAGGAACAAAAACCAAACACGGTGTGTTACATTTCTCTTAGCATCTTCTTTAACATACATACACATACATGCATAACGGATGGGATGAATTTTAAATTTATGAAATACGAATCTTAGAAGCTTCGCTAATATCTCGAACCTCTGGAATCTCGAGTTCTTCCTATAAGATTAATTATAACGATGTAGTGTTCCTTCCTTTCATCTATTCACTAAATGTTGAGGAACTTAGTGTACTACTAAGCGAATAATTGCTTAAGTTCAAAATCAGAAACGTAAACTTAAGAAGGGTGAATTACCCTTTATTGTTCAAAATAAAGATTCATAGATGGCCCCTTTCTCAGGCCATACAGCAAAGCCTCCACTTAGGCTTGAACTCAAGAATGTTCTAATGATGATAACTAAATAAAGAGATTTATCAGAAGATAACACAAATTCTAAACTAGTTGGCCCTTAATATTAAATTAGTTAGCGAAACTATCAAAAGGCACGTGATACGGCGGAGCGTCGTAACAGTTAGAGAGACATAGCCAAAAGGCAAACGCGCGATATTCAGGAATTCAAATTCTCTCTCCCGACTGTGTGTAACTTTGCCTTAAATACTAGTACACTTCTCATTTGAATTTAACGCGATTCTAAAAACTCATTCTGGTAATAAGGAATTGTAAGCCGAAGCCTGAAGAGATAGGAAATTGCTAAAAACTTTAAAATAGCTGTTACAAAATTAGGATATACAAGGGAAAAAAAAATTACTAAATATTGAAAGTTTGTAATTAAAGTAGCCTCTTTTTTAATGAAAAACAAATTAAATGATACAGATTTTAAAAAATGCATTTATATTTAATACGAAGATGCAAATGAAATTTAGTAAATGACGATAAAATTAAAGCTCTTGAAATCTGAGTTTAAATTTTCAGTACAATTTCACAAAAAATGTTTAAGTAACACGTCAAATTTTCTTTCAAAGACCTAAACAAACCAACATTAAATACAGATGTCTGAAATCCTTTCAGAATTTAGGTTAAAATAATAATAACACAATGAATATCGGTTATTGGAGAAGTTAAACAACACAAATCAGCATTTACAAATCTTATGCTGCTTTTTGTTGTTTAATTTCTCCAATAATCTCTTCAGATTATTAAGAGCGAGATGCACAGAACCACCATAGTGAGTTTAGGTGATCTTAGATAGTGAATTTAGGTGAAAAATTCCAGCAGCCGCCCTCTTTTTATTAACCAATGCTTTTAGTTAGGCATCAATAGAACTAATCTTTTTTAATAAATGCTTTGGGCGAAAAAATTTAAAGATGTCTTAAAATAGGAATGAAAAGATAAAAAATACTTCTATAAAAAAAAACTTCAAATATTCGAATTTTCGTTTCTGGAATTTTTTGCAAAAATCTGAAGCTTCAAGAATTCAAATATTCCATTCGAATGATTATACATAACTTTCAAAAATTTTGATGAGAAGACATTTTAATAGTGGTTAAATGAAATTATTTAATCATCACAAAAAATTATACTAAAAATTTGCCTCAGTTATAAAATAAGCACACGTAAAGGCAAAAGAAAATTTTAACCGATGAAAAATATTCAACAAAAATGTCTTACTTGAAAATTGCCCATGATTCTGATTGACTTCACAGGCAATGTAGCCTGAGAAGGTGAGTTAGAACTGTCTACTCTCTGTCTTTAATCCAATATTTATACCAACCATACTGGCCTACATAAAGGGGTACCATCTCCATGGGGGGGACGAGGAAAGCTAACGTTTTGAACGACGTTAATTAAAACTAATTAAGATCATCGGGTTAGCTTTGCGCAGTGAGATTTCCAGTTTGACACGAATACCGAAAGGAGATGCTTTTCAAATAAATGGGGAAAGTTGTTTTTGATCGAATCACTTTTTGTCTGGAAATTTCGAAATTTTCTTTTTTTTTCCCGCTGACATTGCAAGCAAATTCCAAAAATAAGAAGTATTTCTAAAAGGAATTGGAACGCATGCTGTTGAGAAATTTGCGAAAACTGTAATAAATAAATAAAATTATTATTCAGAACGTAATAAAAAATTAAAAAATTATAGCAAGTACCTGTTTGATCAAATAAAATAGAAAGGATATTAAGGACAATTTATCATGGCGATCCTAATTGCAATTAATGAGAAATTTTTGTTTGCTTTTAGTAAAACAATATTATCTTCTCGATAGAAAATAATCTCTAATGTAGAAATACAAAGCCTCCTTCAGTTTTCATTTCCAAAGGTACGTAATGAAAGTTAAATTTTCGCCGAAAAACATGAAAGGAAATTAGCTGAACAGTCAATAAAAATCGTAGTTTAAACAATTACGTACTTTAATGTATTAATAAACGTTACACACGTTTCTTAAAACACAAATATTTATGATTTTACTTCTGAATTTAAAAAATTAAACTTCAAAATATAAACAAAAATTTAAATCATCTCATCTCATGCATCTAACTGATTCAATTAGATTACAGATTCTTTTCGATACTTGCCCTGTTTTATTATTATTAGCCCAAAGGGCATTAGCCCAGAAAGGATATTAATTTCGTTTTGGCATTTTGCGTCGAAAACTTTAAAAAAGTTAAAAAAAGTTCAATTTTTAAAAGGCAGAGGAAAACAAATAAAAAAGAAAATCTGAAGGCTTTCAGATTAAAAAAACGCCCTTTTCGGCGTTTTTTTAACCTTTTGTGTGTAACGTTTTGTGTGTCTTTATTTATTAAATATCATGTTCTTCACACTTAAATCACATAAAAATTAATTCAACAGCAATATCACAAAATATTTAAAAACAATGTATCTTTAGCATTTCCGATACACAGTATCGTGCGCTATAAATAAAAATGTGTTTTTCCGCGCAGTATTGCCATTGCTCGCTTTAAGGGGACTCATACACCTTAAACCCATAAGATGTTCGAGTAAAGGTGACTGTTGCAAGAATTGGGATAACTTATTTATTTTAAAAGCAATTACTACCAACTTTTTACAGCTGACTACATAATATAGCTGCTTTCTGAAATAGTAATTCAGAAAAGTTTGTGTTGGCCACAAATAGTGTTTATAATTTTAATCCGCTTTGTGACAAAAGTTTTCGTCATGTTTCAAACTTTGCGCGCACAGTTTAAAACATTATGTTTCATAATTTGATTCCATATTTTATATGCAGCTTTTATAACATTTAGCAAACTACTGTGAACCAAAAATTCTAAAAATTTCATGTTAAATTTTTATTTAATTTTGAAGTTGAAAGTTTATAAAATGTATTTTATTAAAAAAATTTGTAATGTTTTTCGTCGCATAAATTTTTTCAATTATTAAAATATTCATCACAGATTGTTGGCTTCAGGTTAGAAAATAGTGCCCATATAAAGAATTCCATGAAATTTCAAGTATGTACCATTAACCATTTTTAAAATATCATGCGCGTAAGGTGGAAACATGGCGAAATATTTTGTCACAAAGAGGATTAAATTACAAAAATATTTGTGGCAACACAAACTTTCTGGTTACTAGTTTCCAAAGCAGCTATATTATGTAGTCAGCTGTAAAAAGCTGGAAGTAATTGCTTTTAAAATAAATAAAATATCCCAATTCTTGCAACAGTCACATTTTCGAAAATCTTGAGGGGTTTAAGGTGTATGAGTCCCCTTAAAATCGTTGAGTTTTTTAAACAAAAATTCGTTAAAGTTTTACAAAATTCTAAATAGATAATAAAATAAATTCGAAATTCAAAACTCGGACTTCCGAGTCCCCATGTTCGGTTGGAGGACTACGTTATTCAAAATTAGATGGCTCTAGGTACCGCTGTTTTTTCACAATGAGAGAAATATTCATGCATTCATACAGATCCTTCATTATTTATTTTCTTGAAATATAATACATGGCGATAATATTTGGTGGCAACAGTTTGAAAAGTAAATAAACGCAGAAAGTGAAACGACTCAAAATGCGGTTTTGAGACTTTGTGTTTTAGACTAATAAAAATAATAAACCCTTTAAGCTAATAAAAATTATAAAGCTTAATATAAAAGTAAAAAATAGCATTATTTAAAAAAAATTAGTTAAAGAAATTTTAAAATGCTGGTCAAAATTTTATCTCTACAATGCAAAATCGATCAAGTTAATTATCTGAAATGCACTATAAGGCATTCTCTCTCTTCTTCCAGCATGCCTTCGTGGTGTAACGGTAGCACACTCGGCGCCTAATCGAGAATTCTGGTTCAAGTCCAGGTGAGGGCACTGCATATTTTTCATGTCTCCTGCTTCAGAATAACCTAATGTCTCTACAGATGGCGCCCGAACGATAATGTGGCGGGCAATAATTCGTCCCCACTACGATTTGGTGAATGGGTCCCCTAATCCCCTGTCTCCCTTTAAAAAGGGGAGTATATAAGGCACTTTTCGCCCTCCTTCCAGCACGCCTTCCTGATGTAATGGCTCTGTGCGTATACGAGTGTTCCAGGTACGAGTTCCGGCAAGAGGATTGTATATTTCTCACGTCTCCTGCTTCAAAATAGCCTAATGACTCTACAACACAATTCTTCCGTTATTTTCATAGAACAAAATCTGTTTGTGTTATTGACATTAAGAGTTATTTTTATAACAAACTCAAACATAACAAACTGTTATTTTCATAGAACAAAACCTGTTTGCGTTACAGAAATTAAGAGTTATTTTCATAACAAACTGTTATTTGCATGGAACAAAATCTGTTTGTGTTACTGAAATTAAGAGTTGTTTTCATAACAAACTCAAACATAACAAACTGTTGTTTTCATAGAACAAAATCTGTTTGCGTTATTGAAATTAAGAGGGCAAGAAAACTGGAAGATTGTAAAACAAATCTTTAATCAACATTTAATGCACCCACGTTGCTTCGACAAGTCATCCCTAAGGATGCGAAAAATGTTTGTTCTTATGATTGTGACTAGAAAAAGTAATTTACTAGTTCATTTCTTTTGCCGCCTTTTAAATGTACTAAATTACGTTTACGTATTCTTTCATTATCAAGGTGAATGAAAAATTCTAGGTCACTATTCGAGCACTCTTTTTCACTTATCACTCTTCGTCTTCTTTAATAAGGTCATGAATGGAAAGAGCATTTAATGAACTTCGGTGTGTATTTAGTATAGCATTCTCTGAAACATTATAAGAATTCAGTCACATTCAGTGAATCGCTGAAATTCAGTAACCTTTATCGCAACATCACTCAGAGCTTAGTCACATTTATAAACACAGAAAGTTAATTTAAAATCATTAAATGGGTGCATAGTTATCATCCCTTAAGTTAATAAAATAATCCTTAGAAAACTAAACATAAATAGTGTAACTTTTCTTCAGGCAACTCTGAAAAATATTCTTATAAGAAATATAATAATAAAATAATATTTCGTTTATATTTAATAATTCGGTGATATTAATAATTGTGGTGATATTTAATGATCGTATCATTTTTACTTCCTTGTACGAAGAAAAAAGGAAGTATTGTAATCGCGAAAAGTTTCAGGCGGCATATTTCAACGGAAATATCCATTTTGACCACTATCGAATGCAATTTAACGATTTTTTTGCGTGATATTTGTACGTAAGGGCTGAATAAAAGACTCGTTTCCTCCAAAAAAATTATAAAACTGCTTTAAAATGAATTCTGAAGAGAATTTTTCGTGGCGTCTGTACGAACGTATGTACGTACGTGCATACGTACGTATTGCGCATAACTCAAAAACGAGTAGCTTCAGAACGTTGAAATTTTGTATATAGCACTGCTACAACATGTAGATGTATTTTGGTTGCAATCGGCCGCACCAAACGTATATAAATACATTTACATACATAGCCACTCTGTTACCCGGCTCAGTGATCTCAGTTTCTTTACTCTTATATGTTTGTAAATTGTACATTTTTTGCTTTAAAAATGATTGAATTATGTTGTTTTTATCTTCCGGTTAAGGTTTTTATGCCTTTAGTAAATCTGTATGCAATACTTTTAGAATTATCAACAATTTTAAAGTTGTTTAAGTGCCCCTAAGCCTTTTCTTTATGGAGGCCATTGATTGTTTACATTTGAAACAGCAGGCTAGTGGATTTGTTGCCAATCTAGAGAAACTTAGCTTCGCAACAACAAAGATAATGTCTTTATTTATTATTGCCAATTAAATCATGCTTAATCCTTTCTGGATTTTTTTCGAGGAAATAAGTGTTTAAGATTTACTTCTTAATTTTTAATATAGATATTTTGAGTTTTTATGTATTTTTCCCTTCTCGCGAAGTGAGAACAGAATTAATTGAATGAGAAATACTCAATCGTCTGTGAAAAACTATTTCTTTTTTGTTTTGTTTGCTTAATTCCTTTTATACATCGTTCCAGCTTTATTATAGTATTTGAATAGAACATGTGGCAACGATTAGATAATTCTATTCTTTCAATGATATAAATTTTGTGCATTATGAGTTAAAATATGAACGAAATATAATACTGTTAAGTGAATCTAGCGCCAGAGTGTCGCTATGGTAAACAAATACTAGAGTGAATTTTAAAGAATACATTTATTCTATTGTGGTTTATGCGCTGTCGGCGAAGTAGATTTAATTCAATCCAATAAGTTTAAATGAAATGCAAGAAAAAATGCGTATAATTTAATATTTCGTACAA